CTTATGGGAAACACCAGGTGCCTCCTCATGATGTTGCTGCAAGAGCAGATGGTCCAACTGCTGCTGTGGGAGATGGCTTGTGATTTAAACCCGGGATCTCGCTAAGAAATTATGAGTCATTCACATGGCCTGTGAGCTTAAGGGGCTATTGAAAGAGGAGTGCTTTTGCATCCACAGGCTCTTAGTAAGTTGTGGTCATATATGTTGTCAGATGGGCTCATTAATTCTAATTGTACACAGCAGGCACTTCATAAAGTGCCATTTTCTGGGATTGTTACACAGCAACTGACTCACGGGGTGGCCTTTTACTTCATTGGTTTTCTTGTGTGACACACTCTTGTGACTTTCAAACTGTCTCGGCTACCATCCTGCTGTTCTGCCTTCACAGTTATGAGTGTTCTGTCTCGGGCAAATAGCAGGAGCTGCAGGTACTCCAGGTCATTTTTAGACTGCGGTTTTTCCTCATCTGTCTCCTCAGATATCTACAAGTCCCGAAGGGTTCTTGACAGCCCTATCTAGTAGCACAGGCACTCTAGTTTTCAATTTTCCATTGCATGAAGTGTCAGCACATGGCAAGCCATACTTCGCTGGTGCCATGCTCTGATTTAACAGTGCTGAATACAGCCTCTATCATTTTTCATTAGTAGGTGCTTTATTATTTTGACACTGCTTTCTACCAACCTGTTGTACTGGAAATAATGGGGACTTGTTGTGACATGACTTGTATGTACTTCATTGTAAACTGCTAAAACTCATGTTCATTAAAGGTGTCCCGTTGTCAGACATTACTAACCCAGGTATTCTAAAATGCAGCAAAAATAGTACTGACATGCACAAACGACTGCATAGATATATTTTCTTCCATGCAGGAATGAATCTGATAGTCTAGGACACAAATAAGTTGTTTTTCTCCTAGGCAGCAGTGACAAATCTATACCTGCTTTGCTCTAGGGGATGACTTTTTACACCACCTACATCTTGACCTCTCCTTCTAGCCTGTGTAACAACCATAACAACAATTCCCTCAATTTTGCTGCTTCTCTGAGGCTGGTGTAAAATATCATTGGTACTACTTTTAGATTTTAAATCCCTAAGTGATGCATGTCCTTTTTAATACTTTTCTCCTCTGATGTCTGAGGATTTCATATGCATTGAAACAAAGCCACATTTAACAATAAAATTTAACCCTTTATTTGCTATTATAATTTAAAGGGGCAAAGCCACTCTGTTAGCTATTCTGCACCATTTGGAGCAACTAGTGTTATCTGTGGCACTGGCCGCAATTACTTTCTGGCAGGGGTTTGCCCTCATCAACATCTGCAGCAATTAAAGTTCACATTTTGTCTGATACCAGACAGATACTGTTTAAAAAGAGCTTATGTGTGTAACAGATACAAAATCTGGTTCTGGATATTTTTGCTTCTTAGTTCTTTTGTCAAGTACTCCCGAGACCATGTGTCTAACCATCATCAGATCTTGTTAGTTTTTATGCAACATTGCAATCATATATTTGAAACCAAAATAATTCTATAGCCTTTTTGTTTGTGGGAAAGGTTAGGCTGAGAATTGCCAGGTCCCTTAGGCTATAAAGAGTTTTATGATCCATGCGTGAAGACGTGAAGCTTTAATGGCTATGGAGTAAAGCCAAAGCTTCTTTCTTTATTTATGTATGCTAACACCCAATTTCTTCTATGGGTAAGTGACTGCTCTCCAAGTCTGACTGGACAACTTCGAAAAAATTATCAATATTCTCAGTAGAAGAATCCAAGGACAAGTTAATTTTGCACTTAGATACCATATCTCTCTGACTGGGCCATCTTTGGTTAATGCCTTCAGATTTCCAGATGGTTTTATAGCAGTTAAATCCTATGGTTTTAGAGAGTTTTGTACAGCAGTATTTAGGATGCTGAGGCAGGTTGACTGAGCACACATTTCTTTACATAATTTGTGTTTCAAATGAGTGTGTACTCCTTCATCTTAGTGGGGCCGGTCTTGATCATCTTGCCACATTCACCTTGCTCTGCTGGATATTATTTCCATCATAAGGAATTTACGTGGTATTTGTTTAGCTTTTGCCCTACAGCTTGTTTTCCATGCAAGGTTTATGAAGGCTCTGACTGCATTTTTGTCATATTTTTCTTAGATCAAAATGTCATGATACAGACTTTTGTACTGTATGTGCTATCAGAAATGTGCTATATCTTTCTATGCAGTGCACAGCCCAACAGAGAACAGTATATCCCAAAGAAGGTGTTGAAGCTAGGTGGACATTTGCTTTGCTTTCTGTCCCATGTAGAAATGCATTTGGTATCAATTGCCACTTCAGTGCTTTCTTCTTGTATATGGGGAATGTTTTCCACTGTAAGTGAAAACTCCATCTTTTTTTCTGGCAATGACTAGAACCCCATCGCTGGATCTCTTCTTGCTGTGTGGGTAAGGGCTTCTCCCTTATCTCGCTTCAGTTCTGAGGAATTTTCTTGGTAGCATGTTGGGAACTTCTCTTGCAACCCTGTTCTGAATGTTTCTGAGAGGTTACAAAGTTCTGTGCTGCTCTCTGTGTTGTGTTTGCAACAATGGGCAATAACGGACACCCTTAGCCGTATGTAAGAATAGGATAAGTGTGTCTGCTTCCCTCTCCTGAGCTCTGATAGGTTGTTCTTGAGTGACTGAGCCAGAGATGGTATCATTATTTAAGACCAGTGGTTTTTTTCAATTGCTGGTATCCAGATTCTGGCAGTGCTCTAGCTTGTGCATCAGTGCCCAGCTTAAAAGCATGGAATTGTCACAGTTGCTTCCAGACCGACAGTTCAGTTCTCTGCTGATGCAGCATTGTCCATTGCTCCTAATTACTTCTACAGAGATTTCCTCTGAATTAGTGGTGTTGCTGTCATTCTCTTGTTCATGTTGGGTTTTATCTCTTGCTGTGCATGCTCTTGTACCATTTGCAAGCTGCTGGTGAGTGGCATTTGCTTGTAGTTCATGTACCTATTTCCAAATGCTGGGCATTGTTCTGATTTTTGTTGTTTTCACACTCTGCATATCTTCTTGTGTTTTTCATTGTGAAACATTTGGTTTTCCACATCCTGTCCTTTATCTTTAAAATCTTTGATTTTTGTCTGGATTGGATGACTTCCTTTGCTTGACAGATGTGGATTACCTTGCCAAGGATTAACTGTGGACCTTCCAGTAGACCAAGGTTTACTTTTCTGAGCCAGGACTCAAACCCTCAAAGTGGGCTAATGAGCCAGTTGGTCAGAGATTAGTCACCTTCCTCTCTGTTTTTACTTTCTGCTTAAAAGCATCACATGCATCTATTTCATTTTTACAGAATGCCTCACATTTCAGTAATGAGCCTCAGAATTCATCTGTCTTGGCCAGAATAAATGAAAACCATGGAAAATGTGAACTTCTTTAAAACTGAGTATTGTCAGGAACAGTGTGATTTCCTCTGTCTCTGCTGCTCCTACCAGTTCCTTGCAGATACAGATTTTTTACATTTCTGTTCATAGGAGGGTTTAAGCAAGTATAGAAATTCCTGAGGTGCCTCTACTTTTTAACCAATTGGAGTAAAAAATTACCTGTTTTCCAGTTCCAGAGCCTCAGCCAAGAAAGTTATTTAAGAGATGGAAAGCTGGTGGCCATTTTTTGGTGTGTGTCTTGGGTAGGAACACACACTATTCTTGGTTTATTACTTTGCTTGGGGGACAGTTTATATAAATTTAGTTAATAAACAACCAATAATGTCCGTCTTTCTTGCTACCATACTGTTGTAATTGATGTGGCCATAGAGAAAAGTCTCAGAATGATGTTTTCTTCTAAATCATCAAGGTTGTCTTCAGAAATATGCCTCTCTAAAGCTGTTGAAAATAGCAATATGTAGCTGAACAAAGAGCAAATTTGGAGATCCAGATATATGGTTATAGCACAAAAGCAAATTCCACCCTTGAGCAGTGCATACTTTCCATAGATATCAGTGGAAGATTCACAGAAGGTTAAGTAAATTCACTAAATTTTTAGCCTTATCTATGAACCACAATTTAAAATGCCATGCAGGCATCTGCCTTGAAAGTGCCAGACCCATCAGGGCTTTGATTCACGCCAGCTCCAAGTTTCTCCAGTGCCTACAGTGTGACTCGGGTGCTACCTGATAAATTCATAACATTTTCCAATCTGAATTATTGTAGCCCACAGCCACGATAAATTATGCTAATTTGGATTAAAGCACTCCTAATCCAGAGTAGGGGTATCCACATGGAGAATTAATCAGACAGAATGTATTCTGATTCTAAAAAGAGTATCTGTTTTAAAATAAAGTCCCCCTGTGAAGGAAAAAGCCGCATGCAAACAAATTGGAGGCGGAGTGAACTAATGTAATTGAAATGCTGACAGACCAGAAGAAAAAGGAGTTTAGCAAGTGAAGTGATTGAAGAGCGAATGCAGGAGCTTGCGGGCAGAGTACCTGTGCCTTACTGTGTTGCAGGTCCCTGTTGCATGTCTCACCAACTGCGGCTGTCCTGCTCGGGAGTTAAGTGGTAGTAAGTGAAGTTAAGGAAAGGAGGGTGGCTGTCTGGGTGTGTAAACCCAGATTTCTCTTTCAGGGCGGTCAGTGAAAGGACTTCCAGGCCAAGGGAATCTTTTCTATCATTTTAAATACAAGCTGAGTCTGGTCTGGGCAGTGCGTGTGTCTTGTGTGTGTGTGTCATTGAGGCAGCTGCAAGAGAAGGGGGAACAACCCAGGAAGATGCTGAATTCAGCTTTTTCTAGTGAATACTAATGCCTAAAAAATTTATAGATGGATGTGTCCACGTCTGAAGCAACTGCCTTATGAATTTGCTGATCGTGCGGGAGCGGTATGCAAAAGAGGAGGAGGAGGGAAGGGAGGGAGGGAGGGAGGGTGGCTCTAGGACCCGTGCGAGCCTTCCCGAGCAGGAGGTGGGAATTCTCCTCCGAGGCAGCAGGAGCCCGAGCCCAGTGTCAGAGCTCTGCAGAGCCCTCAGGAGGAGCCGGGCACGTCCCCTCCAGAGCTGCGCACCCGGCCGGGACCCGCCCGCGCCCCGCAGAGCCATGGACCGGCTCCCGCACCTGGCGCTGTGGGTCATCACAGCGGGTAAGGAACTTTTTTTTTTTTTTTTTTTTTTGTTTCCCCCCCTCATCTCCTTATGGTGCAAACTCTCTCTTATGCCCAGGGACTCAGACTTCCTTCATTGCCCCTTCCTTTTAACCTTTAAAACCAGTAAAACATTCTTTTCAAAACAGGGGAAAAAAAGGACAGAGGGCAGAAAGTGGTAGCATATAAGGTGGGTGACATGTGGGAAGATAAATCTTGATGGTTATTGGATCGAGGTAAATTTTGTTCACCGAAATGAATAGGTGATCCGTAGTTTTAGGAAGGCTGCTGCTGCCCGAGGCTCTCAGGCTGGAAGCAGGCGCTGTCATTGCACAAGGGCTCAGCAGGAAAATAACCGCTATACCTCAGGACCGGTTTGCCTCTCTGATTACTGGATTGCTTTCTCTGGGACTGTTTTGGAGAGGTGAGTAAAAGTAATGCTTCAGGAGTAGTGAAGGTTGCTTACAGGAAAAGGTGTAGTTTGGAGAAGATGCTTTGTCTAAGGAGAGGGATGAGGGAGACAGGTATCGGGACTATGAAGGATGGAGTTAGGAGCTCCCACCTAGAGAGGGGTGCTCAAGCTGTTTTAAAACGAACCCTTTTGCTGCTCTGTTTGCCATTGTCAGCTTTGGTTCTGAAATGCAGAAAGAGGAATGAAATAACAGAAGGAACGAAGGGAGGGAGATGTTAGGAGGGAAGCTGCAGGAACAGCAGAGAAGTTGGGAAGCGGCGGCATGCCCACAAGCAACCATGGAAGAAGGTAGGAGCGGGTCACATCTGCTATATGTGCACAGTGGCAAGCAAACTCATTATGAAGATTAGGATGAAAAAGCTGTATCAGGACATGCCTGAACTTCTCAGAGAGCTGAAGTTACATTAATGACCCCAGTGCAGAGACAGGGATCTTGGTCCTTAGAGAAGGATCAGGAGACACTTCTGTGTTTCTCAGTGTAACACTCATATTGCTCCCAGGCAGGGAAGGAGGTAAGGCAAACAGGTTGTTGGTGCTACGGCTTGCTCTTGCTAGTGCAGTTAAATTCTGTGTCTCTGGCTAAATGCTGAATCAGTATGTATTTTCTTTTATATGAAGACAGGCTGGGACATCGGTTTTTAAGCAAGATTCATTGTTTAGTTCTATTTACAACTGAATGCCAAAGCACAGCACAGAGCTTTTGATTTCCTGATACTCCTATCGGGAGGAGGTTGCTCTACCATCAGAGGGTCCCCAGGCAACCAGAGCTGCGTGTCCCCACAGCATCAGTTCTCATGGCAGGTGGTCTCATCGAGAGCTGCTAAGTATCATCGCAGTGTTTTTAGCGGGGTGACTTTCAACATGCAAGTAAGGTTAGTGTGAGGAATCATTATATTTGCTGTGTCTCCCAGTCTGTGGTTTGAAGCACGACTGTATTAAGGACAGAGATAAAAAAAGGTGTTTCAGAGAGAGCAAGTAAAGAGCTAAATGAAAACAAATGTACATTTTACAATCTCTGTCCAATCTTCTGTCAAAAATAATCTCAGTCACCCAGGGAGAGACTTGGATGCATGAGCATTTAACTGTGTAGCTGCTGTCACAATCTTCACGTGGCGGTTGCTTGTCTCACTGGGTTCTTATGGTCAGCTCTCGGACTCTGCAGTCAACTGTTTTAAAAGCCACTTGTGTTTCCAGTGAGGGAGTTTTCTGGGAGCATAATCTCAGTGTGGCTTTACATTTCCTTCTTTATTTGGAAAGCCTGAGGTCTTGGTGATGAGGGAATTTACAGGTCTACTTTTCTCTTGTTTTAACTGCCTGGCATATGCCTTTCTAATGAGCTGTAACCTAAAAGGAAAATTTCAGCGTTCTCACCCATTGAAAGTTTTTGACACACTAAAGCACTGGTGGAGGTCAGAACTCCTTTTGGTGCAAAAATTAAGACTCTATAAGAAAATTCAAAAAGTTGTAGATAACAGCAGAAAAGAACCCTCAGAAAAAGAGCCCCAAAACTACCAACAACAAACCCCAAAAAGGACTCAGTGCACAAATGTGCCTTGTTCAGTGTCAAAACAACTTTGCAGTCATTCAGAGGCTGAGGTTACACACTAGTCTCAGGAGATGGCTGGGAAGAAGGTGAAAAAAGCCGCCAGATGAATGTGTGGGAGAATTTTATTTTTATTTTAAGCACCAGCCCTGCTTTCAGTCTTCATATTGGATGGTTTTCCTTTGATTACTTCAGCTTGATTGAGGGGGTAGGTCAGTCTTTTTAGTCCTCTGTGAAAAACAGGGTGGTGCTTGACCAGATGTCATGCTTTTTCGTTTGGGTGCAGAGCCCAAACTGTTCGCAAAATTACAGCACAACATATGTCCTGGGCAAACCTCAAACACCTTTCCAAAAGCACAGTCATGTTTATGTCATTGTTCAGAGTTTAGCTACTGAGTATAATCACAGTTCCTGAGATAAGAGGCATTTTCTCAAGTCTTTCTTTACATCCCTTTCCAGTACTTGTAGTGGAGCTGTCACAGAATAGGATATCTTATGTTTAATTTCAGCCTGGGGAATAGTTATGGTTTGGGGTTTTGTTGAATCCTTTCTAAGGCAGAGAGGCATGGGGAGGTTGGTGGCAGGTTTAGGAGTAAGACAGGCAGCCTTCTGTTTGTTTGTTTGTGGAATGGTATATCAGCATGGCAACGGTGAATGCCCTGTTGCTGCATGCTACTTCCTCCTTGCATTTGTCTAACAAACTGTTTTCAGAAGCCCTGAAGGTTTTAGGTTTTCTTCTTCTCCCTAGGTTTGTCTGCCCCTCAAAACCAAACCAGCCTGTTTTATAGAGTGAGTATAAGCTGGTTTAAATTTAAGCAGTCCATACATGCATGAAGATACCTATATAGGAGTACTTCATTTTGTTGTAAGCCAACCTGAAATAAACCAGAGCATCTATCTCACTTAGACAAACCTTTACTGCTTTGTGTATCTCTTTGTCTGTCTAGAGGAGAGCATGCCAAGAGTGGAAGGGATGGGGCCCTATATTCTCTTTTGCATCTTCATTGGAGAGCTTATCTCTTATTTTCTTTTTCTTGTGACTATCTCCACTCAGTTAAAATACTTTCAGTACTTTCAGTATTCAGTTTTTAGTACTTTTCAGTACTTGTTTCAGTATTTTCACTTAAATAGTTACAATGAGGGCAGCACCTTAAAATTTGTCATAGGAGTTAGGTCCATAGTTCTTTACTGTGCATATAACAGCATATCCACCAATACTGTGCCTAGTCCAGATATGTAATTCACGGCACTATGATGGTCACTGGAAGTCAAATATTGGGCAGATGCCTTGAAATAAAAAAAGACAGTTCTCTTTGTCACAGACATTACAAAGTTGAGGACCCTTTGAAGTACAGTGGGAAAGGATAGAACAGATGGAATCCCACGGTAAGGGAGCACATGCAGATGAACATTGGGGATTTGTAAACTACATCAAGAAGGAGGACTAAGGTGGAGGAGGAAGAAATCAGGTAGTGAGCTGTATGTACTGTTACTTTAGAGCTGAAGACAATGTCTTGTGATCAGCCACAGGAGAAATCCATCTCACCGTCAGCGTTACATGGTTTCATGTTTTCTAATTAGTCCATAAGATCAAAGTTGGAGAAAAGGATGCCCTGCTTCAGTGGTCTTTCCAAAGCATTCCTCTCCCACCCCACGGAGTCCTAAACAGATACACAGGAGGGTCCCTGTCCTCAGCCTGCCTGTGTGTGTGATTCCACGAAGCAGTGCATCTGGGAGGTCTGTGACTGGAGTGATGTTTTCATCTTGAAATAATTTTAGTGAAAAATGTTTTATGAAGTGGTCTAGGTTTTAAGCTGTTAGGTATGGAGGTTTGTTTTGTGTGTGCACCAGTTAGATCATATTGAGACATTCAAATGAGTCTTGTTGTTTTAACGTTTTTGTTTAATTTGAACTTTTGCTCAGAGAAGTCTTTTATTCAAAAATATTAAGTCTTTATTTAAAAATCTTAAAACATTGTTTAGTATCATATGTTTAGTTTTGACATGAAATGTTATAGTTCAAAAGTCCCTGAAATGTGTTGGTCTTTGAAGTTTTATAAAAATTCTGAAGAATTTTCAGGCTGACCTGTGACGGTTGGATATTTTTTTTTTAATTTTTTGGGGCTTGCCAGTAACTTAGAAAATCCTACGTTAAAGCTGCTCAGTTATCTTGTAATACCACATACCGATTTGTACCTGGATTTGTGCATGCAGGTGGTTGTCCTCAGGCTGGTGTTCATCACTGCACATATGCACAGTGGCTGGTACTGTTGTTTATCGCTTGGTATTGGATTGAATTCCTGAGAAATAAACAAAGACAACCTGAACTTTTTACAAACCTTTAGTAAAAGCAGAAGCACAGCTCAGCTGCTGAGAGAAGAGACAGGTGAGCTCTTTTCACAAATAAATGGAGAGGAAGGAATCCATGGGGTTGTTAGTTAACACAAATTGATGGCCCTGTACGGGAATACTGCTACAACAGTACATAATCTTGCCTACTGTATCTGGAGACTTTTATCTGAGACTCTTACGAGTAAGCATGATTTCTGTATTGAATACTTAAATCAGAGGAGGAAAATAATGACATTAATTATGTTAATTAATTGGATCAGGCTTGTAGTCTTTTCCTGTCTCTCAGCATCAGTCCTTCCTCTTACAATTCCTCTTCCTCCATTCCATTATAATTGCTTCCCTGCTTCTCTCCTCTCCTGGCGTGTTACAAACCCAGTGCTCTGATGTAGCCCGATATCAGCAGGACAGGGTGTGCACAAAGACGAAACCCACGGCAGCCAAGATAGCAGGCCAGCTTGGAGGAGTGGTGAGTTGAGGTGTTTGATAAGAGGTGACTTGCAGTTGGTCTGACAGATGTGCTCTGAGTGAATAGGGAGAACCGGGGTCTCTGTGGGAGTGGTGACAGATCATACTGGTGGATTACCTGTGTGTAGGAGGAACATGTCGAGCCTTTGGTTCAGACAGTGACTGGTTC